CCTCGAGAAATGGATTCCAGTGACGGCAGTTACTGAGATCAAGATGAAGCTTCTCCTTTGTGTGCCTGCAACGCAAAAGTCCTCTGAAGTCTCAGACAAGGCAGCAAAGAATGACAAAAAAAAATTGTGCAAGTAAAGAAACAACACCTCAGCATTGTCTGAATTAAGGAAGACTGGTCAATTGATGGGTCCATGCCATCTGTGGGATCCCAGGGACCACCGATCGCCATGACAGAATGGTCTTTCTTAAGAACAGCAAATTTTAATATGTTGCATATATGAGGTATACGGTCTTCAAATAATTTATCTGAAGAAAGATCTTCCAGAGCAGTCCTGCTCAGCCCGCTCATCAAAATCATCTGAACAGCAGAGAAAACCCATAACACATGAGCAATTTTTCTTTGTTAACCACATAAGCAAATTTCTTTCAAACAGATCATGCAGGCTATTTGAGAAGATAACAATGAGATAATTAAAGAGGTAGACGACCCTACAAAGAAAAATACGAGGCAATATTTTTCAATGAGAAAACTAAAGAAAAAAACAGCCCACCTTGGCATTCCAAACAGTTCTTCCTCCAGTTTTCACAGCTAAAGACTTTGTGGGAGTATTTTTCACATCAACACCACCGTCTTCAATGTAATCATGCTCAAAACTGCCGTCCTCAACAAAAGATGGTTAGATTTATAAAAAAATTATAACTAGTTATAGTATAACAAAAGTGAATCCACAAAAATTTAGGGAATCTTTATAACTCTAATATACTGACTCTGGCAAGGGAAAGAGAAACTCCATAACTTCTGATCTATTCAAACCCCTTAAGAAGGATTATAATCCTCAATACTCGCAAAAATGTAGAGAAGAAAAAATTTACCTCACAGCAGTATGCATTGAAAGTGTTAGCTTTTGTTTCGGCCAGTTCACTACAACCTGAAATATATATTTAGTAGATTATCAATCATTTACCACTCCACTAAGGATCAGAAAATGATTGAGAGATAGAAAAATAGAAACCTTGGAAAACTCAGAAGGCACAAAAAGCCTGGGGTATCTTTTATCTAATGTCAAGTAATCCCTCTCCATGTCAACCAATCGCGAGGATAAAACCTGCAAACAAGTCGCACAATAATTAGATAAAGAATAATACACATTAGGCAGTACTCTGTCACTCCTGCTCCTGTCACCATCAATTGTCTTATCAATTGAAATATTACAATACACGTCCTTGATTAGAGAAAGTGATAATCCTTGTGAACTTCCCACATTTTCATTAAATTCGAAATCCAAAAGAAATAACTAGTAATCAGTCAAATTCACAGGAGACCACAAAACCGGAAGCAAAATAGCATGCTGCAAATTCATAGCAGTATGTACCAGGACGGTGCAACCAGTTGTCACACTAATTTCAAAAATCAAGCAAAGTAATACCCTGAGATGGCAACAAGTAAGATATTGGCCAAATAAAACCCAGAACTAGGGAACGCCAAGTAAATTGGCCACAAAAAGGAAAGAGGAAGGATGACACAACCCCAGGTGTACAGGAAGATATCCCACAAAGGAAAAGGAATGAGAAAAAGCGGAATTTGGCGGACTTTCGATGGAAAAAGTGGCAATGGTATGGAACGGTAATCGAGCAGGGCCAAGAGATGCCCAAGTCAACCAATAAGAAAAAAAGGAGAATGCAGGAACGGACAGGAAGATGAGGTAACCACGAGGAGTAGACAAAACATCATTGAATGAGGAAACTCTTGGAACACTTATTACCTTGCAGGCATAATCTCTCCTTATTGGCTTAATCGGTGAAGAACGCCTTCAGTTATAACAGAAATAATGTTAGTGTCTGGTGCAGCAACATAAAATGCCCTGTATTCCAGATGAAGACCGTGACAGAGATCAAAAATAAAACCTAATTGATGCTTCACGATGATGTCCATCCCGCCGCAAAGAGGAACTTCGTGCATCCCTAGAAGCAGCTTTTGGCACTGGAGTCCGCTCCTTTGGGTCCTTGGACGTAGCTCTTGTAGTCGGAGTCCTATCTCGTTTTATGTCAAGAGCGCGTTTTCGCTCACG